ATTCCTCAGCAATAAAGAGGAAAAAAAGAGTAAAGACATTCTTTTATATAGAGATGAAAAAGTCCTAAAAATCTAATGTTAACTGCCTTACAAGCTACGATCTACCTCCACCCATTCAGGTGGAGTTAGATATTTAGGAAATTATTTTATTTATTCCAAGTGATATCCTTTGGAGTCCAAATCTACAGATTAGAGACATCAAATCTGTTGGATTTAACTTTTTTTTTTTTTTTTTTTGAAGCTTCTCATATTCTGAATCTTGAAAAGAAAAAAGGGGTTTTCATATTTGCATTCATTTTTGTTCAAATTATATTTTCAAATTAAATTCATGAAATTAGATAAGTAAACTGAATAAATCATTAAGTAAAATAAATTACAAAATTCTCCTATGAGTTGGGGGTGGGGAACTGACATTATAATTTTAGTAAAATGTACAAAGGCTACATTATATTCTGAAGGTAAAAATAAATTTGAATATAAACCTTTTCAATTGTTTTGTTTTTTTTTTGCATTTCATCAAAATAGCTCAAGGTTAAGTATGTAATATCAGGTAATGTCATTCACCTCTGACACCTTATGTGACTGTGGGGAGGGAGTAAGCAATAAAGAAAAAAAACATGTCACCTTCAAGACATTTTTTCTAGCCAAGATAAAACATGTTTTTATGTGATTTAAGATAAATGGGTTTTTCAGTTGAAAGTTAATCATTATTATTATTATTATCATAAAATATAATGCCAAGTGTGGAGTACCCAATAACAAAAGACCTCCCTACTGCAAGAATTGTTTTGGAAGAATCCGATATATAAATTTTTATACATCAGAACAATTATTTACACTATTTACATTGTTTGGACTGTTGTCCTTATCTTTATTGCCATATTTACAACATTTCGTCCATCTTCAGGTGGTATACTTTCGAATTTTGAACCAAATCCTTTATTTAATCTATGGTGGTAGATTGTTCTAGTTCCATGTGCCATGCTTTTTCTGGATATCATAATTTTATCCAAGGACACATAGCCCAGTGGATAAAAGTGTTGGTTGAACTAATCCAAACAGTGACTTAATCGAAAGAGTTGTGAGTTCAATACCTGGCCACAGCAGAAATGAACAAAAAAAACTTGGAGAGTTGAGTTACTAAAGGGAAATAACTGAAATTGAGATATCCAGAAAAGGCATGGCATGTGGAACTAGAACATTCTACTCCCGTGAACTAAAAGGGTTTGGTACGAAATTCCAACGTATATGACCTGAAGAAAGCCAGAGAATACAGTGGACAAAAGACCATGAATATGACAATAAAGATGAGGACAACAGTTTGAACAATGATGTAAATTAATGATAAAGTAGAAAAAATTCTATGTGACTTGTTTCATCCTTTAAAACTTCTTCAGACTAAAGCAGTGTTTTTTTTTTTTTTTTTAAATTTCAAGGTGCACTTATAGAACAACTAAAAGTCTAGGGAGCACTTTAAATTTTAATAGAAGAATGTAATTCATTTGGAATAAATAATTCATTCTTTGTATGTGTTAGGGGTATGATTTTTTTTAAACCCTATGTTCCTGTGTCATAAGCATTTGTTCATAAGTAATGAAAGATATTAATTTGTTTTAGTTCTTGAAAAAGGTCACCCCAAACCGAATGTAATTGGATAGTACTCATGCATTTTTAACGCAGTTAACAGTTTATAGTTATAGTATAACATACAAAATTATAAATAAACAAAAACAAATTCTAGAAGGCTCCAGAAAATCATAGTACTACTATACTTAAATATGATTTTAGAAATTTTACTTAACCGTTAACATACTAGAGATGATTTTGCTTGCGAAGCAAAATTTTTTATCTTGCCACTATATGTGACTCAGATGAGTGAATAACAGAGTGTTTGAATTTTGAAGTTGTGTTCTTATATCCTGCTATGGCAACAGAAAATGACCATGACTGAAATTTAGTGCAGCAAAGGAGACTTGGAAAGGAAAGCAGTGAATAATGCACTGTGTTAAAGGTTAAAAACCAGGAGATATTTTCAGTTGCTAAAGAATTTTTTATAATTTCACTAAAAAAAAAGAATATATACGTTCCTCTCACGTTTCAAAGTTCAGAACATAATGAGAATTAGTCGCTATCTTTACAAGATCAGAAGGTTTTGTCAGTTTATAATTGTGATAAGAATAAAAAAAATAATTCTTAAATTACTCTTTTGTTAACTTCGGGTGCACCTGGTACATTGGTTGAGAAACACTGGACTAAATTAATGTTTTGGTTGGTGGAATCACATGTACAGAAAGGTGAAGGGAAATATAAAAACACAAACATTGGTCATTTGTCAGCCATTATAAACTTTTTTTACAATTTCTTTAATTTAGTTGCTTTTCAGTGTAACTACTGAGATTACTCAGGACATTAATGTTATTTTGAATTTTATTATTAAATGAAGACTTATCAGTCATTATTAATTTTGGGACAAGGTTTAACACTTGTGACTGCAAAAAAAGCTGTGTCAAAAGGTCAGTTATTCCCTTGACACCACTATTACTGTATACACTTTTGACTCCCTCAGCAATCTTTATTTACAAGATTATAAATATATGTGAATTAAGTACAATGTGATATTTATTTACTTTTTATAAGGATTTATTATTTACCATTTCATCAAGAAATAAATTTGTAAAGAAATCTTTTTATTAAAAAATTTATAAAAAAATTACAAAATTATCAAAATACAAAAACCAACTGCCATGCAATGTTTATTATTTACTATTTTATAAATAATTATGAAAACAAAATTTTTTAATCAATCAAAAATATGAATAGTGTTTAATATCTTAAAAATAAAGAAACTTTATAAATTTGCTTTCATTAAAATTATTATTATTGTTTCTTCAAACAATAAACATTGCCAAGGGAGTTAAAAGTGTATACACTAGTAGGTGTCAAGGGAACAACTGCCCTTTTTACACACTATTTTTTTGCATGCACAAAGGTTAAACATTGCCAATTATTTTTTACTATTATTTATTGAAAAGACTACATAAAAATATATAAAGTAAAATACCCTAAAATTACAGGCAGTAATACATTACATGGTTTTGTCCTCTCCAACTTGTAATAAGTCAAGAGACTGTGTTACCGTGTCAGGATACTGTATCAGGATACTGTGTTAACCATGGAAAACAGGCAGGATTTAACATCATTTGAATGTGAAATAATTTTTAGAGCCAGAAAAACAAGTCACTATCTGATTGTTCTATATTTTACTTGAGCATTAAGAGTGTATAAGGAATATATAAAAACTGCAAGTGGTGTAAAATCCAGCAACTGACAACTCATCATCCAACCTAACACATCAAGCCAAGCACTGTAAAGCACACTCTTCATTGTAAAGGGTTTTGTAGTGATCAATCAAAAAGAGGACTTTTATTGACACCATGGAAACGGTCATTGTGCATCCCTTGGGTTAGAAAACATCACCACTGGACCATGAAAGTCTGGTGCTGTGTCACCTGACTAAGTGAGTCATTAACTTATTCAGTTTATTCAAACTATTATTCGCATCTTATTATAGATGTTATCATAGACACAATGTTTTAGCCAAATACCTCAAGCTACCTTCAAGTGCACATCGTTTTGTTTTTCTTTGGATGGGGATGGTGCTGATATAGAATATCTGTTGATTGAGTTATTTCATAAAAATATATTAGTACCATTTGGGACAGTGACATAGTGGATATAGGTGTTGGTTAAATATGTGTTATTGTCTTCTAGTCATTGTGAGTTCAATCCCTGGCTCAGGTAGTGAAACGATATTATTCAGCAGAAAAATAAACAAGAATAGGTACCACATGGATAATCAACATACTATCCAATTCCCAAACCAATATTTTAATCTAACAGGATATTAATTCTTTGAATCCCTTGGCTGGGTCAGACAGACTTGGGGTGAACAATAACTGAGCAATTGTTTTATTTTTTTTTTTTACAGTACGGTTCACCCTGTACAAATTCCCAGATGCCACAAGATAGAAGGTTATGTTAAGGGGTAGTTTATATGGCTAGGAGGGGAAGATAATGGTTAACTCTAGACATGAACAGGTTAAGGATGTAGTGAGCAGAGAAACAACTTCTCGATAGTCTGTTCCATAGAGTAGTGCTTCGCAGGAAGAAGCTGTTTAAGAGGAACTTAATTCCGATGGAATTATAGAGTGAATGTGGGTGGTTTGCTACTATGTAAGTGGCATGGCAGGTTATTTTCTAAGCGTAGCTTAGATGTGGCACAAGGCCGAAAGTATGGGGCACCTAGTGAGAATCAAACTCACTTTGGTTGTAACTAATCTAGCGAGGCAAGCTTGCTAACCATTACACCACACCGAGGCATGGCGGGTTATAGCCATGAAGGTTAGACCTGGCAGAATCAAGGAATGTAGTTCATCCGAGCACTAGAAGTGATAGAGGAGTGAAAGACTCGCCACATCCTACCTGTGAAAGAGAGGTTGGAGGGTGGAAAATAATTCTTCTCCAACAAGGACTGAGATGCTTTTGAACTCTATCAAGACTTTAAAGTGAGGACTGGGTAGCTCCTGCCCAAATATGGCAACAGTACTCCATTTTGGGCCTGACCTGGCTCTTATAATAGTAGAGGTTAGTATGAGGAGCCAGGGCAGTACTTTAAAAATAACACATCCCTAGAAATGAACAGTGGAACACAAACAGTATTCTAATCTAACAGGATATTAAATAATGGGTCCAGTTTGAAATTCCCTGAAGGTTACCCAGATCTACAAACACCTGAAGAAGGCCAGAGGGTGTGATGACTGAAATGTTGTGATAATAAAACAAAGATGAGGACATTCATCCAAATGAGAATAAAATAACTTTACTTCCTCTTCTCACCACCCACAACCACTGGAAGTCTATTTTCTCTCATCAAAGTCACAATGACTATTTTGTATGAATTTAAGACTTACTGGGCCAATCATTTCAAAATGATTGAGGCTTATGGCCAAATCACATGGAAACCCTGTTCTCATACAATCACCGAAGTTAAGCTGTTAAACCTGGTCAGTACCTAGATGGGTGACCACTTGGGAATACTGGGTTCTGTAAGCGTGGATATGCTGGTGGTATAATGGGCTTACAGCCATATTTCATTGGAACACCAATTCTTGTACGATCATCAAAGTTAAGTAACATCACCCTGGTCAGTACCTATATGGGTGACCACTTGGGAATACTAGGTGTGTATATGATGTAATGAATAAAGGCTCAGAATGAGAAATCTGAGAGCTGGATCTGAATTCCAGACGTATTCATTATACTCACTTATGCACAAATATCTTTAGGAAAGGTATGAATCCTTCTCTTCTCCCCACAGCTATGGGTTAAATAGTAAAAATTGAATCAGAAAATCATTGTCTCCAAAAATATTCTTACAATCAAAAAATATGCTTCAGCTTTAAATAATCTCAGAAAGATTGATAAGCCATAAAAACAAATCAATCAAATCAACAACCAAAGTGCTTATCATTGATATTTCAAATTATAAAGACATGAACAGCACATGTTTGTCTAAAAGAAAATACTGTCCTGTACCAAAAAATATCAAGAAGCTAAAAATAGACATATTTCTCCCTAGATTCTTCAAGCATGCCCCCCACCCCCGCAACTCCCAACTAAAAAAATAAAAAAAAAATAAAAAAAAAAAAAAATGAAGGAGCACATGGTTAGGCCTTAAGGCTCATTTGATAAAATTAAAGGATCATTCATTGGCTCTTGGAGAAAAAAAAAAAAAAAGTATGTTTGGCTATGTGTAGGTTTTCAGAATTGGTGTTATGTCAGCTGTTCAAGGTTGACAAGTTACTAATTCAAACAATGACAGAACTGTCGACAAGAAAAAAAAAATCTTCCTAAAACGTGGAGCCTATTATTTTGGGAACTGTCGACCTACCATCAAGATATTTACATAATTGTGTAACATTGATACCAGCTAGCCCTATTGTACTCAAGCAGCACAAAAACATGCAAATTTAGCAAAATAATGACATTTCAAATTACAAGAGCTGGCAAGGTTTTAACATATCTTGTAAGAATTTACCTCCCTTAGGGCACATCTGAAAACTAATTCAATGATAATACAATCTTTTTTATATGGTAATTTGTTTAATGTGTTAAAAACTGAAATATTAATAAAGAGTCTCCATAGAAGAGTTTAAAACTCACTATCTACAATAATAAAATACTTTAACAAATATAGTTATTTACAGTATTTACATTGTTCAGACTGCTGTCCCCATCTTTGTTGTCAGTCATGAAGTTTCAGTCATCAGACACATGGCCCAGTAGTTAAAAGCATTGGTAATTCAGTGACTTGACTCAAAGAGTTGCGAGTTCAATACCTGAACACATCAGAGGTGAACAAAAACTTGAAGAGTTGAGTTAAAGGGAAATAACTGAAAGTGAGATATCTGGAAGAGGCATGGCATGTGGAGCTAGAACAATCTACCCCCAGTGAACAAAATAAAGGGTTTGGTTTGAAATTCTGATTACATGAACAACGCCGGAGCGTACACCAGTCAAAACATTGTGAATATGACAATTTCATATTATAAGAGAACAATGTAAATAATTACAGGAATATAGACAGATATTAACAAATATAGTACTTGTAAGAACATTAACTTCAAAAAGACAGAATGCAAGGTTGTTAGCAAAAGGACGAGAGCAAAGTGTGAATTGCAAATCTGAGAGACCAAAATCAAATGGGTGTGGGAATTTAAATATCTGGGAAGTCTTTTAACAGAAGATGGAAAGTGAGTTATTAAATTCCGAGGACATATTGGAATGTCCAAAGAAACATTCCAAAAGCTAAGCAAAGAAATAGAAAAAACTTTGCTAGAAACAAAGAAAAGAGTACTAAACTGTTATGTGCTGAAGAGACTTGAAGCAACAGAAATGTGGTTCTACAGAAGGCTGCTGAGGATACCATGGACTGATTATGTAAGCAATGACAAAGTTTTAGAGAAAATGGAAACAAAAAGTAAACTAATACTTAACATCAGGAAAAGACAGTTGATGTTTCTGGAGCACATGAGAAAAGAAGGCTTGGAAAATCTGGGACTCAAAGGAGAGAGAGCAAAATAGACAAAAGAAAAACAATGTATAACATATTTAGTGAGCTTTAATAAATGAATAGCAGAACAGAGCTGAGGAGAAATAACAAAACAGAGTTTATTAAGAGTTACAATAGAGAGAAAGTTGTGGAGAGCCTGAATGGATATAAAGAAAAACGTAAAACCTACATATTTCCATCTGTATACTCATGAGCACATATACAAATTAAGTATAATGTGCTGAATCCTGGGAAATGAATATTTCTGTATATGAAGGGGTGCTGAAAAGTTTTCAAATTTTAGAATCCTTTTTTGTTAATCCAAGAATTCTCTGGCACCCTTCTTAAGGAGGCTGAAGCTACAATGGCTCGGCACACAAATTTGCTGTATTGATCCCAATGGATCAATACAGCAAATTTATGCTGATAATATTATGGATACTATGAGTATTTTGTTTATTTTGTTGTCATGTCACATTGTTTAATGGTGTTTAAATATTTAATGGTGTGTATTTACAATAGAGGAATAGAATATGCAGTAATTCATCTATTTAAAAAGCAACCATATTATTTACACTTACAGTAGATTACACAAGCAGTAATACTAATATTGAATTTTTTTTATCAGAGGAAACATTGTTGACCATTATTAAATTTTCACTAAGATGTCTTCCATCTTAATGTCACTTGCTTTATTTACATTATTAAAATTAACAGTAATTCTATCTTAAAGTTTGATTATCTGAAGCATTGTCAATAAAGTTGTTTATATGAACAACCTCATGATACTTATATGTCATGGTATGTAACCCCGAGACCTGACCACATGTTTGAGCAAATTTTGAAACTGTCAGTGTAACAAAACATATCAACATTGAAGAGTAGCAGATAGCTAGTACAAAGTTGCTCATATGAACAGCCTTATTCTACTTACATGTAACCTTGAGACCTGAGCACTTGTTTGAGCAAATTTCACTATTTCAGAACTCCTATATAACAGAAGAAATCAGAACTGAAGAGCAGTAAATGGCCAGTACAAAGTTACTCATATGAATAGCCTTATATGCAAGACTTGGTGATAGCTTTTATTGATTAGACATTGGAGATTTGATTATGCCAGTAAATCAGAAATGGAGTGGGGGGTCTTATGTATCATTAAATAATAATAATATACACACACGTGTGTGTGTGTGTGTGTGTGTGTGTGTGTGTGTTTTTCATGGCTTGGCTTTGCAAAATGAAGATGAAAAGGAAGTCTGTTCATGTCAATTGCAAGCACATTTGTGACTGATAAATCCAATGCCAGACAGGCATACATGGTCGCATTGGTTGAAGCTGAAAGTCCGGCCCAAACTTGATGGCATAGCGTTGCAGTACTTCCATCTCTGCCTCTTTTCCCCAAGAGTGGCCCTGCAGGTATTTTCAAAGGAGGATGGTTGGTGGTGGCAGGTACCTAAGGATATTTTTAGGCAATCTTTAAATCACTTCTTCAGTGCCCCTCTGCCACAATAGCCAGTGGAAAGCTCACCATTCAATAAAATTTTAGGCAGGTGATACTTCTCCATCCTGGAAACATGTCCAGCCCAGCATAGCTGGGACTTCAGCAGCATGACTTCAATGCTGGTGATCTTTACCTTTTCAAGGATTTTCACTTCAGTGGATGTTAAGAAGATTATATAATTTAATAATGTCTATTTGGTCAGCAACCTTTCTTTTAAACATCTTTCATTAAATATGACAGACAAGGAATATTTTATTAATGTTTTATTTAGTTTTTCCAGTATTCTGACATTTTTCTGTTTAGTGAGAATGAGAAAGTGCAAAAACTGTCCATACCGCCCATTGTCCCAAGTGCTTTTGGCCACTTTTTTAGCCATTTTCAAAGAAGTTTTGTTTTGGTGTTCATAGTTTCTTTTCATGTTTTGACTGTGTGAGATGTACTATTTGTGAATTCTAGTATGAGTGTTAATTCCAAGCCATTGTGTGTTGTGCATGGCTGGAATTCGAGTAAGGAGTAAATTGCTGATAACTCCTGAAAAGTGGACAGACAGGTACACTTACGAAACTCTGGAGTCAGGATGCTGAAGGTAATATCAATCAGCTAAGTGACAAACTTTTACTCTCATTAATATATATATATATATATATATATATTAGTACAAATCTTTGATAAAAATACCTATAGTAAGTTAAAGTTATATATGATGTACATTGAACTCTTGTTTCCAACTTGTACAGTCATTTAATGAGTTGACTAACAACAGAAATCTGACCGACATTTTGGTAACTAAATGCTTCTCAGCCTTTTAACCGGGATGAAAGCGTAGTATCTGTTCTCTCCTCACTTTTGAGATGAGAGGAGGCGCGCGGTCCCAGGGAGTCCATCCCTGCGGCGGCACATTCTTCATCGTACCAAAGGGAGGTGAATTCGATGTAATATAGACGACGGAGTGACAGTGGTCGCGAGGTCTGGGCAATTTTGTCTTTTTTGGCCCATGTTAAACACAAAATAAAAAAAAACTTGGGTCACATTCTCTTTAATGGAGAAAATAAGTCTACACTCTACTGTTAGAGAAAAATGACTTAATAAGGAAAACAAAAAAAAAAAAGAAAAGAAAACAGTAGAAATAAAAATTTTAAAAGAATAACTGGGAAGTACATGGGGGAAAATTAGAAGTTATGTTAATTTTCAGTGGAAAATATTTTCTCAAAATATCTTTCAACAACAAAAAAAAACATTTAATGTTTTGAATGTCTAATAATTATTAGATTCAATTGTGTTCTTGAAAAACTGTCATGATGTATGAATGAATCACTTTTAAGTTAAAGTTTAAGAAAAGTGACGTCATGACTTTTTTCTTTTAAGTTTATAACTCTCTTAATAATTAAAATTTTACTCATTATTAAAATAAATCTACCTTTTAAACATTGCACAAATTTATTTGAACATTATACGACCGCTGGTACGACTTCTTACGTTTAATTTAAAAACACGTGA